GGGCCAAACGCTCATGCAGATGCAACACGCTGAATTTGCATGAGCTGGCAAAAGCACAAGTGGATTAGCTCTGCTCCAGCTGCCATTCATACATGAATACACTTTCTACCTGTTTGATTAGAGCATCTGTTGGAATTGTTGTGGCACTGTAGTATTATTGTAGACACAGTTATCTGGGTGTATGCAGAGTATGACCTAATAGATAATGTATAAAGCATCCTCCATGTGAAACTTAAAGACGTTATGTATTACATACCCATGTGCGCTTTGTTGCAGCAGTGGGAGATGTCGTATTCAGTTTGAAATCTACAGCGTTTGATGCAATATTAAATGCGGCGAGGTGTTTCAGGAATGTAAGACATTTCAGGGGGCATTTCATATGACGCATTCAGAGGAAAAGACAGAAAAAGAGGTGAGGGAAAAAGTCGAAGACGTGTCTAGGAGGCAGCTCAGCCGAATCTCCCAAAACAGCTATGACCTTTTTCTCTTCATCACTGTGTTTGCCGGTGGCACTGCTACCCAGCCGAGTACCAAAATCGCTGGATTATCGGTCTAAATATAGAGGCAGTCACACACACACACACACACACACACACACACACACACACACACACACACACACACACACACACGCACACGTACTCAAGCAACATGACTCAAACATGTGATTTGGCAGAAATCCATAGAATGGATCTGCACAATCACAGGATGCACAAGGACAGTGGGAAGACGCAAAGCTCAAAGCGTGAGTCCTGTGAAAATCCAAAATGATGCAAGCAGCATGTCTCGAGGTTTTTCAATAGATGCACGGTAGTGGATATATACGCTGATTCCTGAAGATAAATCTTGAGATGAAAACCTGCTGTTATGTATTTCAGGACTGTCAGTAATGATACAGCACCCTACAGGAGGGCACGTACACACACACACACACACACACACACTCACACTGTTCATGGAGAAGAGAGAGTCAGTGAGCCAGGTCTTTTCATCAGTTCCACTGCACTGCCTCGCATTGGGCCAATCTCACCACATCATTAATATGGTGAATGCTATTGTCATTACACTTACAAAACAAAAGCACAGTTTAACATGGCAGCACCATGGATCAAATATGAAAGAGGGAGCTATTAAATATGCCTGGAGGTGAATGAATGATGGTGTGTTGTGCGAGAAAGAAACAAATGAAGAACAATAGAAAGCGGAGAGTTCACTGAAAAAGTACTTGAGGAAGTTTGTGAATATGTAAGTCAGACTGGAGAAGATTTATACATATGCAGCAGGCGTCATCTATGTGAATGAGGGCTAGATTAAAAGCCTCCAAAAGCCTTATAGACTCCATTAGAATACTGAATGCAAGACCAGAGCCTGCATATGTCTGTAATTCTTTTTTGTGAGAGTCAGTGCATTATGTCCGTAGCTATGCAAATGAATACCAAAGGAAGCCTGCGCTTTGTGTTTCCCCGTGGGTGCGTGTCTGCCTGTTTGTGTTTACAAAGGCATTGCACATCCCAGAATTCTCAGCCACAACACACACAGACAGGTGTGAGGACAGGAGAGAGCGAGAGCCCAGATTCTGGAGCATGGCCTCGCTGAGCAAATACTACTCTCTCTCCCAATTTCTGTCTGCCCCCCTTCCCATTCAATGTCTGCCTCTCTCTTGCTCTCTCTGTTCTCTCTCTTTCCCACTGTGCCAAACACAGAGGACTGCTTTGTTATTCAGAGTAGGAAATGCAACTAGAGCCAAATCTGCCTTGGTTTCTGTTTGATATCATCCCCCCCTTTGTTCTCCACGTCTCCCATCACCAAGTGCTTGGCCTCAGACGGCAGAGTCAGACACAAGGGAGCAAGTAGAGCTTAGGCAAGATATATCTCCCGATGTCCTGAATGTGTGACTTCAAGTGTGGCTCGAGGTGACATTTAAGCTTATGATGAGATAAAGGTCAAATAGATTGTTTTCCACTGAATGCTAGTGCGAAAGAGCTGTGTTTGAAGGTGGCTGCTGTGTATTGTACAGTGGAGAGCTCATAGACTCTTGGAAAGTACATTCTGTTACCCAGTATCATACATTCTTAATACATTCCTCTGAGCAGAAAGAGGTTAGGTTAGAATACACTTAATAGTGAGCGAATTTAACATTATTAGAAGGGCGAATATCACAGATTAAATACACACTTTTTGTAATACAGCTTTGTGAGAACATTAATCATATGAAACGACTAAATATTTTAACTACCCAGAATCACACTTTTTTTTTTTTTTTTTAAAAATGCATCTCTTGAAGCTGAAAATTTTACAACAAAAAAAAGGCTGAATGAGTATCTGGCCACACTGACTTCCAGTCCAGATGCTCTCTCAGGTGTGACTATCAAGTGGTATCCTTGAACATGCAGGGGCAACATCCCCAAAGTGGCTGAACACGTCTCAGTATGTGTGTGTGTGTCTGTCTGCTTCGATCCTCCCCAACCCCTGGAGAGAAAGACTGAAGAGTCTACATGCTGAATACTAATAATATTCACCAACATCACTTCTCATTCAGATGACTAGCAGTTATGAGCTCGACATCAAAAGCTCGTTTCATCTGCGGAATAAGTGTGAATAAAGGATTTAGTAAATATGGGAAAGAGACTTTAGACTGAGTACAAACTCTTCTTTACTTGTGGATTCTGGGCCATGTTGTGTTACAGAGTCATCAGTTCACTGTCAAATACATGTGCTTTTATTGTTTGTGCATGAAATTAATAGATTTCAAGTGTTATCCTTGAGATATCCAGAAAGATTTACAATTAAGGTGAGGTTGTACAATGAAATACTTGGGTGCATGTACTGTATAAATATTAATAAAAAGTGATTTGAAACTGTAAATAATTCGGCCCTTGCTGTAGTAAGCGTGAGAATCTCAGCAGTAATTCTGGTTGAAGTGACGAATGAACAATATTGGATTTTTGCAAATATTTGATATGCCAATGTTTTCCAACTCAATTCGACAATTGCTGATACAGATATATGCACATATTTTTTCCACCTAATTGCAAAGAACTGCAGTCCCTCCTGTATTGGAATTAACATATCAATGTGCCTACTCTTACCATGAAGACATAAAAATACAATAGCTTCCAACTGTACATTGTGTTTAGACAAATAAGAAAACTGCCTCAACTTGAATGTAAAACATTTAATTCAATATAACATTTTAAAAACAAAATTGAACAATGTTAGCTTGATGAGCAGTTGTTTGCCTGTCAAAGTAAATTTTAGAACAATTGCAATATTCTATATGTAACTTTATGAAATTGCCAAAAATATTCATAGTTTATCTGAGCCAGGAACTGTAAAAACAGAAAGAATCCTTGTGAACTAATAGGTAGTGATGTGACGGGTCAGATCTAAGCTTAAAATCATGATATTTCATCATCTAAAAATTTGCTAAAAATAGACCATTTCTTGTATCTAGATTCTCTGAAAAAGAACAAATTCTTTGCTCCTCCATGCAATTGAGAAGGCATGAGTGACTCAGCTGTGATCAACAGTCATATGACAAAAATGTAGGGACTTTTTGGATGAACTGGGCTGAAGTGCCGACTGTGTTTACACAGAGCAGATAGGTGAGGAAAAAAAATCTAAATAAATCATCATAAGTTTGGTATAATGACCAACAGACATTTTTGAGTTCCCTCTACCTCTATCCATTGTTATGCTGTTCAAATTGTGGTGCTGGACTTAATATTTCAGTGAAAAATGATCCCACAGTAAGTAAAAATGTGACAGCTTGGAGTTCAGAGGGTGAAAGCCTTTATCAGGGGAAACTAACGGCCAGTATCACCATGCATACTTGAAGTACTGAGCTATTACTCGTGAATTGATTTGACATAGTTTTATTTTTATCCTCACAGCAAGCAAGTGTTTGACTAAAACTGAGCAATTTTTCAAATGTTTATTTGTTCTGTTTTTCAGAGGGGAATAAAACAGCTCACATATGCAGCACAGAGACGTGTCGGTCGTGTGCTGAAAGGAGAAAAAAAAAAAAGCAACTGTAGTAAATCTGTTGCCTTCCTTCTCTTTGCAATGGCCACTATTGTCTAAATAACTCCTTCACACCACATCCGCCCACCACGGTTCCTAAACCTGTAAGCTCTGGCTAGTCGGTTGTTGAGTGTGTTAAAAGAAGAGATAAGGAGAGAGGACGGCAATCTATCACTTCGCACTGACAGCCTCGCACGTTGTCTGTCTCTGGGGCTGCTGCGCTGCCACGCTCCCCTGCAGCTGCTCCTCCTCTCCTCCTCTCCTGTCACTTCTTCTCCTCTTGTCAACTCTTTTCTATCTCGCCACGTCTTCCTCTCCCTTCATCTCCTCACCTCCGCTCTGTCCTTGCGTCCCCCTTCCCATCCTTCTCTGCCCTCACCTCCTCTGCCTGCTAAGTGTGGCGGCTGCATCGATGGCATTCGGCTGCTTCCCACCCGCTTTGCAACGCTGTCACTTCATTAGGAGTGCAAAAGGATGACCTTGCACTTTGTGTCTCTTCTCTCTCCCTAGCTCTCTCTCAGTGTCTCGCGTTACATCGTCTAAGTCATACACTCCTCCAGCTGTCCCTCCTTCCCTCATCACTCTTTCTCTCATGCTCAGCCAGTTAGACAACCAGCCAGCAGGTGCCCTTCATTTCTTTCTCTCTTCCTCTATTGTACCTTATCTTTTCCTTGTCTCTCCATTTCTTTCTTTGTCCCTGCCCTCATTGTTCTCCTTCATTATCAAACGCTGTCACAATGTCCCCCGCTGTGCCACCCAGGTTATTTATAGCTAACAGTAGGTGGTGGATGTGCTGATGTTGAGAGGGTGGACCATCTCATGCCCTGCTGGAGCGCTCACATCTACACAGTTTTCCCTGACATTTAAACATATACACACACACACAGAGGCACACTAAAACCATCCATTCTCCAGTATGGGCTCTCGCATAATTAGGGCACCACAGGTTTGCAAGCATGCATCTCCCCAGGACCTACCTGTCTCTCAGACATGACGTAGAGGTAGTTGCGGTCGAGAGAGAAGGCCATATCTCGTAGGATGGGACTGCCGTCCTTGATAACCGATATTGTTTCATACTGAACACCGCCGTGCGGAGGTCCATCGACACGAATCTGAGAAAAAAAACACAAGACGAACGGGTCGGTGAGTGCTATTTATATCAGCATGATGGGAAAACAGACAAAGAATGATTGACAGGAATGACAGACAGGGTCAGATAAAATTTGCAAAAGATCCGTATTTGTTTATAGAGGTTCAGATAGATTTTTTTTCTTGATGATTGTGTGGATTGTAAATGACAGAAAAGTGATTAATTGAATTTTGGCAGCTAAAAACAAGTTGCAGGCAGTAAATTATATGGTATGAGGTAAATGTCAGTCCTCTGTGATTACTTGTAGGAAGAGGTTACAAAAACTGTGAGGAATTATTCACTGATATTATTAGACCTTTGTGAAACCTTAGCTCTGTTTTTCTTTCCCCTTTCTCCCGATGAATGATGTATTCCCTCAGTAAAGCTTTGAACTGGAGGCCAAGACCACCTAACTACAAAAACAGTGGAAAGGCCTTCTAATGACTTATATGAGTCACGTGACCCTTCCTGACCCAAGTGGGCCAAATTCTAGCCTTGTTTCTTCTTTATTCATCATATCCTGTTGGTCAAATATATACATAGCAAATCTTGAGGAGCAGCATGAGTTTCCTAAAGGCGAAGGATGTCACATGTCACGAAGCCCTCCTCCAACCCTGAAAGCTGATGGCTCTATCATCTGTCCATTCCCATCTGACTTCCTCCACCCAAACATTCATCTATCTATTCAGATAGTGACAGCACCAAAGAGCAGCCAGGCTCTCTATAAAACATCACAGAGGGGAAAGTCAAGGTCATATGTCTGTCAAAAGAAAATCTACTGGGAGGGTGGGAGGGTACGTGAGCAAATGCGTGCACACACGAGGGGTTGTATGTGTGTGTGTGTGTGTGTGTGTGAGCACGAATGTGTGTCAAACTGTTGGATGGTCAAGTAAGAGAAATGTGATATAAGTTCACACAAAGCCCCTTGAGCTTTCCCTTCAAAGCTTGAGGGTTAGCTGGGTACATGACAGCAGGCACCACACAGCTCAAAGTGGTTGGGCCTTCCACGGCTGACCTACATCTGACCTTGGCAGACTAATCCAAACAGTGAAAACAGGACATATGTGAAAACCATATGTAGGAGGAGAAAGGCAGGATGTGGGGGCCGTGCCAGTCTTCATCTGGTTACTGACACTGCAGTGTGGAGGGAGACCTCAGCAAATATGCTCATCCATAAAGCATGTCGGCGCATGGCCAGACCAGCGCTGTTCTGTTCACTGCTGTGTCAGTGTGGGTGTTGCGCGCGAGTGCGTTTGTGTGTGCGTGCGCACCCGTAGGAGAAGTCTGTCATGCTGTGATATGTGTCCTAGCAGGCTGCCACTAGGGATCACAAGATAACCTGACCTTCCCACTGCAGGCCTGCAGTTCATCTGAATTAGATCGCTATCACACAGTGTCTCACCACTGTCCAGGGGCCTCTAAATTCGCATTTGGCCAGAAACACACTCACACATCCAGCTGTCTTTGAGTGAGTCAGGAGCAAAACCTCTACTCTCCAGTCATGGATATAACACTTTGGGATATAACCACTATCATACCAGACCTCACAATTACTACACTAAGCTGTCCTGGCAAACATAATAAATAAGGAGTGCAGGAATGTGTACAAAGAGATAAATAATAAATACCCTTCTCTTTTAGCCACACACCAATACTCTGTCTGTTTTTGCTTCTTTTTTTTCCCCCCTTCCAACAGCTTAGGCTTATGGCTCACACAAAGAAAAATAGAATCAACATTACTGACACTCAAACCCTCTCACCATCCCACTGTGTACACACAAACACACCCACATCCACTTGCTTTACACATTAAAAAGCAGTTTTGCTATAGTAGCTGCAAATCGTGCGAAGAGTGTCACATTCACACATATGTAGACGCGCACGCACACACCCACAGCATTGTAAGAAAGTGAAAAAATGAGCGCATTTGTGTGAAGTGGGTTAGGTAAATGTGAAGTACTTTGCAGGGCAGGCTCAACTCTGGGTGGGCGAATGAGACAAAAAAAGAAAAAAGAAAAAGAAAACCCTCAGCAAATAAATGGAGGAACCAGTGCTTAGTGGACCAAAAATAATTCTGTCAAAATCTCCCGCTCTTTACACACACCCACACTACTGTTCCACCAGTCTACAGTATCTAGCACCTGAGTAAGCGACTCTCAGGCCCAAAACATCCATTTCCTTGGCATCACTTTACTTCAACATTTAGCCTGCTCTCTCAGGTACTTAAACCTATCCCATCTTTGCCCCTTTTGACCTTGCATTATTTATCAGCCCGGGTAAGAAGACTGCAAACTGGTTGGATTCATACCCTCAAGGCCCTCTGACAATATTACAGCCCCTCTATTTTAGGAGAACCCATCCACTGAAACCACCCCCGGTGCCCTAGAGAGCTGTCCTTTGGTATGGCCTGGTCTTACACAGTCCCCGATTTCAACACCGCAGCCATTAGCTACACTCTCTCTATCACCAGCGTCGGAGAGCTGCAACTGAGTAAAGTGGGGGGGGAGAGAAGATGAATGAGAACGTTGAAAAACAGCCTACATGGACCCCAGGGGGGACCATGAGCTGGCGTTTTCTAAAAAATAAAATAAAACAAAGTTGTCTTGAATGGTTGAAAAAATTATGATCAGCAACTGGTGTTCACACGTTTCATAATACTCATGAGACATTTAATGTCCATCATGTACAAACAAAATCCAAACATACAAACACAGAGGGATGATGAAAGATGCCTGGATAACTAAACGTATAAATAACTGTCCCCTGGCATCACAGAGTAGGAGGACTTCTCAGCAAATCCTGGAGCACACACACAGGGTTGCCATATTTGGTTTTCAAAATCCAAACTGCTTTCATCGGTTTTTAAATAACATTGGACCGCATTTTCGTGACTGAGGTTTGTAGTTGAATATGAAATTCAGCATTTCAAATGCTCTTACAAAGCGGTTGAGACAACACCATGTAGACATTCTTCAGCAAAGCAACCACTATCTACCTCACTAACCCAGCTTTACAGTTTGTTACAGTTACATTAACATTTCCTGGTTGAATCAGAACACAGCAGAGTACTGTTAAAGTTCTATTATTGCTTTTTAATTATGAATTAGAGTGTTTGTTGTCTTGAACTGAATGCTGGGCTTCTTTTGTCAATCAACCAAACTAAACGCTGGTTTTATGTTCGCGATGATGAGATAAACCCATTGACTGTATATAAAAATGACTTTGACATCACCTTTGATTTGTGGACTACTGTTGTGACGCCTTAAGTTTGGCATTTGGTCACCTCCATTTTTCTGCTGTGAAACCAGATGCAACGAGTCAGGGGTGGATCAGACTGAGAATGTTAATCACTGACCTGTTAATCACTAGGTAGCCATGCTCAAAGACTGCTTCATGACGATTTTACTTTACACGGGATCACAATTTTAGAAAATTAACACCATACTCTAATAAAGGAGATGTCAAACTAGGGATTGAGACCATGAATTACCACGAAAAATGTTTATTGAGGTAAAACATAAAGTGAGAATTGTGGTCATTTTCCTATATCTCTCTATATAGTCTGACTTCTTTTCACCCCCTGCTGGCTGTTAAAGGAAATGCAGTTTCAAGGCACATTCGCAGTGGCTTCACTTTTCAGACTCGGGGGTTTATCGTTAAACCTAGAAGGAGTGAATTGTTTTTGCTTTGGTGTTTCCTTTTTGCTTCCGTGTTTTCTTTTTTTAATGGCATAATCAGTTTTCTTTGCAAGTTAAAAAGGGATATTTAGTCTTGTTTCTGCTAGTGTTTACCTGTACAATTACAATTTGCCATGACCTGGTTTATGTGTGAAAGAAAAAAAAAAAAAACACCCCTGAGAAAAAAAACACAAGATTGGAGGACAGAGGAGGGAGTCTGGGTCTGTGAATCTGTGTGCGCATGAGGTTGCCTTTATTTTATCTGAGCTGTTTTTGGAAATTAATACTGTGTGCTCAATAGTTGCACAATGTGATTTTGTTTTTTTCTTTTAGCCATGTATATTGAGTCTACCTACTTTCTTGACACTCAGATTTCAGCCAGGCTATTGCATAATAATAGATTTTACTGTAGGCTCCAGCCCCCCTGTGACCCTACTGAGGATTAAGTGGTGTATAGATAATGGATGGATGGATGAAATAAAATGAAATTATTGTGCTGTTATAAACAAACTAAAAATTGAATGTCTTCAGTTGTTGACCTGAATACTTCATGTTGCATTTTGGACTTTTGAACTCACTGGGTAGCTATAGCAACCAAATGATGGATCTAGCACCTCACTGTTATGAACAATTCCACAGCTTTTAGTTAGACGTTGCATTTTTTTTTTCAGATTTTCATATTCATAAATTGAACATTATTCTAAGCATTAATTTATAGGTATATGTTTTAAAACATCACTGAAGCTTTATTTTTTTTGAAAGATGTAAGGATTTTTAATACCCATGGGAAAGGGCAACGTTCCCAAGCGGCCACATCCTGCAAAAACAAAGAATTTACTTTGGTTTTTATGTGCAAACTTTATGTTGCAGCACCTAGTCCGGCTTAAGCGGGCAAGAGGTTAGGGGTGTGGGTTTGGCCAGCAGCAAAACCATGGCAGAGGCATCAGAGGCCTCCCCTTGTGGCTGCAAGGGCCAGTGCCAGTGGGGTGCGTTTGATCAGACCATGTAAGCACCCTGGAAAAACGTTTGAAGACTGACCAAACTCCAATTCAAATTGCCCTTCTCCCTTTTTTTTTTCTCCTTTTTTTCTACCTCTCGCTCTCTATGCCTTGGTCTTACTGTGCCAGACACCAGATTCCCAACCGTGAGAGTCTGTGTGAAGCAATTTGCTTGAGTGAAAAGTGCTGAATAAATCCTGGGTAAAAGTGCAGCAAATGTGTGTTTGCAGTGCATTGTGGATGCTGCTGCTCAGAGATAGAAGGAAAAGGAAAGGCCAAATCTGCATTTCCCTCTACAGACTGCATTA